TCTCTCTCTCTCTCTATCTCTCTCTTACTTTTTACACATTGTTAACGAGCCTTTGGCTCTGTTATAACCGATTGGGCTCTGATGAGGCCCTGTAATTGCCGATAACTTTTAATAAAGACGAAGAGTAAGAAAAAAACGGATTTAAAAAAAATCCCTGTTATTACCGGATCCCTTTGATTACCGGGCCTGTAATATATGGTTCCCACTGTAGGTGTATGATCCAGTCAAATGCAAATGAAAATACGATCTAGCTATTTAGCAAATAAAATGGCCTACTTTTCCAAAGTGCATTTTTGTAGAAAATTAGCCTGTTTCGATATTACCTGCTGGAAACATCTCAGTTCGTAATAGATATTATAAATGTTTGTTTTTAGATTGTTAACGCCGTTTTTCTTTTTTAAGAATTTTTTCCAAGCCCATAAACGGTGCTTCAAACACTAGAGACACAATAAAGCCGACAGAATAGGCCGCCAGGAGACAAGCTAAGTAGACCATAATTATACTCAAGTCATCGAGATAGTAGGGAGTACGTCTTGCAAACGCCCAGGTCATGGTGAGGATAGGGTGAATTAGGAACACAGTGTAGGTGAGCCGACCCAGCGGAATCCACACGGGCATGGAGAGGAAAGAGTTGATGAGTCCGCCCTTGCCCGAGACACAACTGAAGATGACCCAAGCCACGCACAGACCCCAGGCGCTGCGGCTCAGGCCGTTGTAAAAGGCGGAGAGAACCAGGTCAATGTCCTTCCCGTTGCCGTACTCAAATAGTCCATACAGCACCGCCAGAGCAGTGGCCGTAGCTACACACCATCCGGTGATGTTTGCAACACGAGATATGCGTATGGGCCATTTTGTGCGGTTCAACACGTAGCCGAGGAGGATACCCTCTAGATAGGGACCCATCCTGCAGTAAGGTGCGAAGTACAAATCGTAGACTCTGTCCCCTTCTTCCACATGTCCAGCAACGTCCCCAACTCCAGGCCCAAAGTAATGAAGCATTGTCAGGACAAACGGCGTGACTGTCGTAGCAAGGAAAAAGAGACCGATGATTATGAACCCTATCACTGGGCGAAAGTGCAGGGGCGCGATCATGAGAGGGCTGAGAACGTAGAAGCACATATCAGCGGACAGGTACCAGCTCCACGAGAAGCACATGGTATCGTCATGGAAGAAATTCTGAATGTAAAGTAAGTTCTTCCACCAAGTAGTCTCGCAGAAATTATTGTTGATTCCCCGCCGAGGGTAAAACGGGCCGTCCATCCAGAAAGGCAAGGTGGTCACGTACACGGCTAGGCACAGCATGTAGGCAGGCGTGAGGCGTAGATAGCGGTGGAAGTAAAACGAGAACCAGCTAATTTTTCCCTCTGTGCTTTTCATCACAGAGAGAGTTGGGTACGATACAAGCAAACCGCTGAGTACGAAAAACGAATCAACGCAAAATGTTGCGTTAATGATTGCCTGAAACGTCCAGCGGTCCATAAAAGTCATGACGGCTGAGAGTATGTTGTCGGTAGAGATGAGCATGAAGAAGATGCTGTGACCCAGAATCACCCAGGACATGCTGATCACGCGTATCCCGTTGAGACATCCTAAGGCGTCTTTGTGCTGACTGGTAGCACAGATCATCTCCCCGTTTGTCCAAGCTGAAAAAGTAAGCAAAAGTCTCACAGGGAGTCCGGGCTTGTATTCACTGATGTCCGAATTGACCCCGAGTATAGTCGTCAGCTCATGGCTACCGTTTTCGTAGACGATGTTGTTGTGTCCGTTTTCCTGTGTGTGAGTCTCTGACTGTTCTTGCGTTTTCCACTTTGGCCATTGAATAAGAAGGAGATCCACTGCTGTGGCAACTGTGACAAGGGCAACAAGCAATAAAACTAGGGAAATCACTGCAATTGTTTTTGCTGGCATTTCAATAGGTTCGTGACAGTCTATGAGTCTCAGTCTGTACTCTGAAATGTTGAACTGCTTCAAAAGAGAATAGACAAGTATAAAGGCTTCCGTGCTGTTACATGAATCCGGCAAACACAAACCCCACACATCGGAAGGGAGCGCAAGCAGGCCTGGTATGATAATATCGCCAAAGGCGTTACAATAGCGCCCCCTGAAAGTGCGAAGTTTTTTTGGCCTTTGTTCGTACTCCGCTCTCACAGCAACACACTCGTCAAAGGACCCTGGCCACATGGTCCGATATTCGAAGAAACCTGGCCCAGGACGGCCATTGGAGTCCAGCATTTCCAATGCCCATGATGTAAACTTTGCAGCCTCTGTCAGGAGGGCTTTGGAGTCTCTAAAACACTGACGTAACCCAGAACTGTGCAGCGTGCTGTTTGAGAGTCTATCATTCTCAGTCTTCTTGTGGCGTTGTGCGTCTTCGGTGTTGAAACGGAGAACTGAATAAGCATTTTGTTCAGTTGGCAAAGATTTGGCATTGTCCTCTTCAATACGTCTCAGTTCCGTGGAAATTCTTTCTTTGGCGCCCTTAAGGAAATCTTTTCGAGAAATGTCAAGAGAATCATACTTGGTTTTCCATGCTCGGAAAGTGGCTCTGTGGGTCTCTGCTTGCTCTCTCAATCGCTTGAGTTGGACCAACTGCTTTTCGAAAATGGCCTGGCACTGTACATCTTGAACAACAGTCTGCACGGCCAAGAAAGCTAATAGGATGCCTGCTATAGTCTTCATATTTGGCCAGTATTAGAAGTAACGTTTTGTAGTCAGACGAGAGGCCGTAGGGTTCTGTGGAGATGAGAAAAAAAGTAATCAACACGAGTTAGTTAGATTCAATCGCCGTTCATTTGTTTTGAGTAAGCATAATAAAGATTATTTCATCACGCCGAGAGGGATGGGGATGATATGGGGATAGACCGAAGTCGTGTAGAAGTCAACAATGAGAAAGAAATGCGACGTAAAGTACTCCCCTCCTACTACAAGCAATTAATGATTCTTTACGGGACATGAAGACAAAAGGGACATTTGTTCAAGCTATTTATGGAGCCCTCAGCTTCACTGATAACAATAGACACCAAATAAATAATCACAGCTTTCAAAGCTTTTAGTGCATGTTAGTAGTTAGTGACAGTAATAAGGTTTATTAAAGGGGAAATTATTATATAAGAGAAGAATGTGTATTGCAAAGAAGATCGAATATAACATGGAATAAGTTATGTGATTTTGTATTTAAAATAAAAAACGACTTGTTTTTGCTGTGTTGGGCTTTCTTTTATTGTAAAAGTGAGACTGGCATCACACAGATAACATGTGAACATGCAGAACATGTACATCACACAGATAACATGTGAACATACAGAACAAGTACATGTACATCACACAGATAACATGTGAACATACAGAACATGTACATCACACAGATAACATGTGAACATACAGAACATGTACATCACACAGATAACATGTGAACATGCAGAACATGTACAACACACAGATAACACGTGAACACCCAGAACATGTCATGAAATAACGCGAATGACGCTTGTCCCAGTGAGACTTCCCGGCTCGTTTTTGTGCAGGCAAAGATAGTACATAACAAAATAGTTCACTTCTATCTTTGGGCCAATTAAAAACGCGTTCTCAAAATCCGGTGGCGCTCTCTCCGAAAAAGCGCCCCTTCGAGAACAGAGTTACCCTACTTGTGGGAAAAAAATCAAAGTGAAACTAGCAAGTTTTCGAATAAATTATTAGAATACAAATTTCAAAAGAACTTTTGTTTTAGATGGTACGCTGACAAAAAAAAAAACAACTCTTCGGTGGAAGAGGCGACTGTTTTCTTCGTTTAATTTGACTTAAGAACGAGAAGTGAGAGGTCATCAAAATTTTTTTAAACCCTGAAACTCCGCACTGAACGAACCCGAACAGCTGATGAACAGCGGTCGATCTGCGCACGCAAGAGGTGCTATTCCTCTTCTTTTGGAGAAACGAAAGAGAGCGTCAAAGCAAAGACTGCAGCGCCATCTGAAGCATTGAGCGGACTTCCGCGTACACTTTTTTGGCTGAGTGAACCATCTTGTTATATACTATCTTTGGTGCAAGCGGGGAGTCCAGATCATCGGTTGCTAATCATTACATTGATTGCATTTACGCCCGGAAAATCAAATGTTTTCGGTTACTACACAGAGCAACGTTTTGCACTTTTCATTAAGGAGTTTACAGAATCCACTTCGATTGAACACTAAAAATGAAAAGGGGAAAAACCCACACACTTACCATTGATAAGGTATCTCTACACCTTCTGTTTCGTTTGAGTTCTGTGGTGGGCATACTACACACCTCTTCTCTTCCCCCTCCCTCCCCCAAATTCCTCCCAAATTCACGCTAACGAGAATGAAAAACGCTCATCTCTGATGATAAACCCATATTTTAAGTGTGTTGACTAAATTAGTAACTTCTCAGATTTGAGCCCTAAGGAAATAGATACATCATGCTTAAAGGTTAAGTTTTTGCAATTTGTAAGTATGAAGTAACAAAAGGCATTAAATACTTAATGAATATTGCTTCAATAGAAAACCTAGAAATTTGACCGAAGTGTCGATTATTGGCCAATATCTCCATTAAATTGTGGATTGCGAGAAGTGACTCATTTTGTCAGCATGCCTCACATATGACACCGATTTCTGACGCCGAGCTCATAGACGCCGAAGGCTATTGACCATTATAATTAGAATCTAATTATTATAATTATCATGCCAGCCACGTTTAGTCCGCGCGACATAAAACCGCGCCGTCTAAAAAACTAATTAAAGCGTCAATAACAATTATAGGACCATCTATTTACTTCTTACACACTTTGGACACAGTTCCGACAGTTTTCTTCCTGTAACGTTATCCAGAGAGCTACGTAGGCTACTTTAAAATGTAGGAAATGAACTTTCTAGACCTATATGCCCTTGCAATGTGGTAGTTCAGGTGAGGCTTCTTGGATTATCTAGAGAAAAGCCCAAAAGCCACGCTCTTCCACAAGTGGATAGATTTTATATTCTCAGATGTGGCAAACTCCTCCTTGCAAGATATGAATCACGTTGGCCAAAGCAGAACCTACATGTAATCTTAATCCCTATTTGATGGTTTTTAAGCACAAGGGGCTATCCTGAAAAAGGCTGTTTTGAGAAAATCTAAGGTAAAATTTTTGCTCCTTGTTCAGTTTCTTTAAAAGAGAAATAGAGTTTTCTCTATAACCAAACAAATATACACTCCAATGAAACCAAACGTCTCCTATAGGTAAAGCAATGTCCACGTTTGGTGTAGGTCTAGATTTCTGGAAACCCCCGAAATCTGGGTTAGCCCGTTTGTCCTTAAAAGCGACCATTTCTTCTCTATTTCTCTGCAAATGCATTGATCATTATTATCATGCACTGCTGGCAAGAGGTTGTGAATAATTATAACATTAGACCAGCTAAATAGACTCAGTGTACGCTTGGAAATTTTCTTTGGCGCTCATATGACCTTATACAGTTGCGAGCGTCGTAAAACCCTCTACTAAAAAAAAAGGGGAAAATTTCTACTCCTCGCACATCTGCGAAATATGACGTCATTTAGCGGTGAAGGGGGATAAACGGGCTTAAATTGCCTTGTTTGTGAACTTGTAACAATGCAACCTGTAGAAGAACGTGTGTACGGGGCATTTCGGGTCACTGAAAGGTTGACGTTTGTTTTATTCAAAATCAATGGCGGTAACTTGAACACAGGCCGGTTTTTCAAGGGGTGATGAGGTTTGGAAGGGGGGGTGGGGAGAAGATATATAGGTATATTATATAAATATAGTGGCGTCCAAAAGAAACTTGAAAATGTAACTATCCAATCGTCAGGTTATAGAATAGGCTTGCACTAACCGCTCATACAGCATACCAATTTAAAGCTGAATAAATTCTACATCATATAACGCATTGATATTTTATCTATGTTAAAAAAACGCCCGGGATATGTTCTCTCACAATTGACCTTTAAAAATCAGGCTTGGCCAAATTGTGCGAAATCGGAGAAACGGAAAAGTGCCTTCGCGCGTATTTTGAAGAGCATCAACATCGGTGAAAAGGGCATGCATTGAATATCAAATGAAAAGAGAATTTTATTGTCTCTACAGTGAACCGCTTCTTCTGATGATAATATTTTCCAACAGATTGGAGAATACGGTAGCTACAAATATCTCCCAAAACCTGCACTTAACATAATAGTATGTGCTTATTAGTATTAACTAGTTTTGTCTTTGTTTATGAGCTAATGGTTTCGTGTCGAGCACGAAACCTTTTTTTGCACATGGACTGTGTTAGTTAGATTTTGGACATAATCATCTGTCAGTGATGAACTGAGGCCACGAAACTGTCATAGCTTGGGGGTGGATTGGGGTGGAATGAACAAAATCGCCCTCATGATAATCACTGGATGACTTGATTTAGTGGACTACATTGCGCAAGTGATGGAACATCATGTCTTATCCTTCTTTATCTTACCCATGGTGTCATTCATGTAAACATCCCAATGCATAGCAAAGAACTTTCTCACAGGGTCAATGCCACTAGATAATTTTTGGAAAACCAAATCAAATCAATGTTGGAGTGGTCGCCAGTTAATAGCCCCGATCTGAATCCTACAGGTATGTGAAGAGTGAAGTACCATGAAACAGTAGCTGAAGAAGAGCGACTTATTTGCTCCAAATAAGAGCCTTTGTTGGCAACTCTCTATAACATTAAAGTTTGGGATGAAAGGACAAGAAATTATGTCCAAAATTAATTAGAGTAGATACCCAAAGGGTTCGTGCACTACACGAACTAATGGCTCCTTATACGGGGTGCCCACTACGGCTGGATCGGACCGATCGTCCGACTCGATCGCATGAAACTTAAAACAAACACGCTTGTTTTTTAGGCGATCGAGTCGGGCGATCGGCCGATATCCGATCCGTCCGTAGTGGGCACCCCGTATAAGCAAAAACAAAACAAAACAAAACAACAACGACAGTGGTATCTGTGATCGTTCTGTTTTCCGTTTTGTTTTAAACTATCGTGACAAAATGTCATAATAGAATATTGTCTATTGCAATACAAAATTCTCCATTCATCGGATATGTAATGTAGGTGTATTCTATCAATATTGATGCTCCTCAATACACGCGAGAAGACAATTTTACGTTTCTTTGATTTGGCACAATATTGAAAAGCTTGATTTTTTAAGGTCAGTTTTGAGTGAGTGTATCTCCGGTGTCTCTTATCATAGATGAATTATTAATATTATGTCAGATGGGGCAGAATTTATTTAGCCTTAAAGTGGTATACTGCATGAATAGATAATACTCAGGCTTGAACACAATGATTTGGCGATTGCATTTTCAAGTTTTCTTTTGGACGCCGCTGTATGTTATACATATATA